CTACTCTTACCATTTGAGTTGTTGCTGTTACGCTTTCTTGACTTCCATACCAAAAAGACAAATATTCCAGCAGCAACAGCCAGCGCGGCAATTGATCCAACCACTGCACCAACAATAACCCCTTTGGCACCTGGAAAACATGAGAAGAACAACATATCAATATATGCCTCCAAAAACTATATGTTTGCGATCCTCCGCTTAACCATTTTAGTCATGATGCCTTTTTCTACGCGTACAACTTTTTTATTCAATTTACGTCAAATTACTCAAAAGCCTAATAAAATGTGATTTTGATACCCACAGGAAGAAGTCCAACTAAGTATAAGAGCTAAATTAAAGGCATTCCACCAGTACCCTTCCCTTACTTACTCTTTATGACGTTTCAAAAACAATTAGAATTACGAGCCAGCAAAACATATGAAAGTTCTTAGGTATACACTGCACAACAGCCGATAAAAGCCTTTTTATTTACTTGTCGAGGTTGCATCTCTATGATTCAAGCAGTCTGTATACATTACTTACGTGTACGTAAAAGTAATTTCTAAATCATTTCTCTATTATATCAGTGCCGCATGTTTTGTGAGAATTAAATGTAATGTAATGTACGTTGGGTCTTGATTTCAATTGTTTACTTTCTTAGCAAGTTTGTTACTATTATAATACAAGTTCTCTATATTTCACGAAAATAAGAGCAACTCCCATGTATTACTCGGCAGAGTTGATTTAAAGGTCTGACTAAGACACCGAGACAGGCAGAATAAATGCTAACCACATCGGTAAGAAGGCCTATCGTTCTCGCGACATTTGCTTGCGGTAGCAAAAAAATTTATGGATATGTCATATTAGTACTGAAAAGTGTACGGGTTGATTTTTATTGGATGAGATCTTGTGCCCTTTCTTTCTCAAGTAATATCGCTTTAGCTCATTAGCTGCCGGAGTTAAGAAACAAAGGCCTCGCGTTATTGTTTACGCTATTGTTTTGCTTGTTTGTTTTATATCATAGTTTATCCAGGGGCATATCCTTTCCTCACCCTGCTGCCCATAGCTTTTGTAGCGTCATGCAGAATGAAACATTAAAATGCATTGTATGATGTTTTTAAAAAAATCAATACAACAAAGTACTTTAACATGGACACCATACATAAGAAGAATGTTCCAAATAGATGGTGAACATACTTGCAATTAAACCCTTCTCTAATTAACTACTTCATTGGGGAGCATATGAGGGATAACGATTCCTGTGAGATTTTGCTACTGATTAACTACAGTGTATATATGTACCAAAAGACTTAAAACTTACTGCCAGGGAGCGTTACTGTGCCTGCTTCAGTAGTTCCAGTGTCGAAATCAACTTGCGATCTTGTCCTTTTCATTGCACTGACATTAAAGTCTCTAAGCTTTCCATCTTTGGCAGCATTACGAAGTACTGTTATAACATCTTGCTCTTTTGTTTTGGAATTGAATTTAAGTGCTAGGTCAACAGTTGTATCTCCACACCTTGATTAAGTCAAAATATGAGGGTCAGAATAAAGTAGAGCGCATTAGAAACCAGAAAATTACAATTTATTTGTGGATCCAGGCAGTTTGCAAACCTAATGTCATTTTTCAACTGCACACCGTTGAAACCTGCAAATCTCCCAGCAAAAGCCTCTTCCATCTGTAGACGGAAACAACAGCAAACTGAACATGAGATCGAGGAGTTCATCAAGCACCTTTAAAGACCGACACACAATCAGGTAAACATATAAATGTTCACTGGACATTAACAACCGAAACTATAATTACAATTGCATGATCTGCAATGGCAGAAATAGAAAAAAAGAAATAAATATATAAATTCTGCTTTAAATAAAATGGTTACCACTTCTTCGAGTCTCGTCAGTAATGAGGATATGTCGTATTTTCCATCAGTACAACTTTCGCTGGTGATGACCATGGTTATGTTAATCAGTACTTTTACCACGACTGTGCATGTAAATAATATGACACTTCAATTAGACACAAATAAACGTAGACTTGTTGACGTTTTGTAACTAGTTGCATATCATGATTAACATTTCATTTCCCGCATTAAACTAAATACCATTATCTAAAACGTAAACAAGGACCAAGAGCAGACAGCTTTCACAGAGTGGTTAAAGCCGATCTAACACTTAGGTTATCCAAGAAAATTTGCAATTGATTATGATCTTGATATGTTGGGAATGGCATCAAAGAGGACTGTATTTTTTAAAGTTTTCAGGGGAAGCATGCCCTTCCACCTCTTAATGAGCTTTTACAAGAATTATATAGGCGTAATTTTCTATCAAGAGTGGTCCTTGACTACACTAGTCTGGTTTCTTTCTTACATTTACACGCGTAATTTTTTTTTTTTTATATTGCTGAAGCGAGTCCCGTGATATGATTGGTCACCCAAACCCGCTAGGAATTGCTTGCTTTGAACCAGGACAAGCAAAAGAAGTGCATGGAGTGGTTATCTTTGGACAATGTCGGCGATGAAGTCGCTAAGGTCTTTTAGGTGAGGTGACAGAGAGATTTCGCTCCCTTGTTTGTCACAGTTCGGTCCAATTCAATTATTCTAGAGAATAAACTTCTCTCATGGCCAAAACAGACTATGCTGTTGTTGCGTTGGTGATGGAAGGAATTACGCATATTATCTAACCGATGTTTTAAGCATTAAGTAGAACGTAACACTGGAGAGCCTTGTGTTCCTCTGAGCATTTTGAAATTATACTAGACAAAATCGAAAAGATCCTCTGTTAGTTTTAGGACTATTATCAATCGATAATGATTAGGACAAGACCAAACACTAATAAATATATACCTTCACAATCTGCCACATTAGATGATCTGTAGTAACCTTCTTTACACGTGCAACCAGCTCTGTCAGTATTAGATGCTGAATTTTCAGGACAAGGTACACATTCTGCATTACCAACAGAATCCTTATAGAAGCCTCTCTGACACTCTAAAATGAAACAATGTAAAATTTCAT